AGGTTGAGTCTATGTGTATGGCCCCTGGGGTTGAGCAAGAGCTCTCACTGTGTTCCGCAGATGTGAGGAACACTGTCATGAATGCAAGAGCCCCATCAACACGTCGCACTTATGCCAGTAAATGGAGAATCTTTGTTTCATGGTGTACAGATCGGTCTGTTAACCCAGTCACTTGTTCCATCAGTTCAGTGTTGGAATTCTTACAACATTTATTGGACACTGGGCGGTCCCCAGCGACTCTAAGGGTATTCGTGGCAGCCTTGTCAGCACATCGGAACCCCTTGGGGGGGAAATCAATTGGTGCGGAAAAGTTGGTGGTGGCTTTCCTTAAGGGAGCAGTACGTCTTAATCCACCGGTACGGATAATGCATACCCAGTGGGATCTTCAGATGGTGCTTAACAGCCTGCGTTTACCACCTTATGAACCACTTGAACAAGCTGATATTAAGAGTCTTTCGATGAAGACTGCTTTTCTCTTGGCTATAACGTCAACCAGAAGAGTAGGTGAGCTTCATGCTCTCTCGGTGAGTCCACAGTGTCTCAGATGGGGGCCCGAGTACAATCAGGTTACACTCTGGCCGAATCCAGCTTTCCGACCTAAAGTGTTGTCTGACCGCTTTGTGAACCAGCCCATTCAGCTTGCGGCATTTAATCAAGAGGCTTCCCAGACAGCTGTGTGTCCAGTGAGAGTATTGCGACAGTATGTGTTGAAGACTGCTTCATGGCGCACCACTGATCAGCTGTTTGTCCGTTTTGATGCCTGTCAGAGGGGCTCACCCTTGTCGAAGCAAAGGTTGTCTCATTGGGTGGTGGATACCATTATACAGGCATATGATTCGGCTGGTCAGACAGTTCCAGCATCTATTAAATGCCATTCAACCCGATCAGTGGCTACTTCTTGGGCAGCACTACGGGGAGTGCCCCTTTCTGATATATGTGCAGCGGCTACATGGTCGTCACCTTGCACGTTCACAAGATTCTACAGGATTAATGTGGCACCTATTCCTTTGGTCAGTTCTGCTGTGTTAGCGGACAGTATCTAGGTGAGCGGCCCTCGTGACTTGGTTGTATTCGTCTTCCACTATGTTCGACCGTCTCTGGCGGTCTGTAACAGTGAAATAGAACGCCGGTTACTGGTGTAACCTTGGTTCTATGAATAGTGGAAGACCGCCAGAGTCTCTGGTCACTCGGACTGAGAATGACTGCAGAGAACGACCGTGACGTGAACGGAGCGGATATAGCTGCTGACACGTCATCGGTCAGGGTCACAGGTGACAAATCAATGCGAGATTCTCGATATGGCTCGCGAGACGCGACTCCTTCCACTATGTTCGACCGTCTCTGGCGGTCTTCCACTATTCATAGAACCAAGGTTACACCAGTAACCGGCGAACCTCTGTGTGTGAAAACAACATTACATTTTAGATCTTCATCTGGGATTATTTCTCGGACAGAAGACAAAGACAATTACCAGCATTCAAAATGAATATTCAACAGCAAGAACATATAAAATATAAAAGACATTTGTTATATCATTGTAGCATTTATTTTGCAAGCCGCATGTTAAAACATGAGACTCTGGTGTGACTTTTAAAATTACTGTTGTTTGTACGTATGAAAAAACTGTTAAAAAAATACGCTGTAAAATAACGGTAATCTACTGGCAGCAGGTTGTCAGCAATCTCTGACTGAAGCCCAGACTCTACTCTCCAGCACAACGGTGACCCACAAAACTCAATTAAACAGATCTCTCCTATATCATCCTGTGCAAAAACATAAAACACTTCAGTTTAATATTTAATCCCCTTATCAGTTATTGACTTTTTTTCTATAAAGTTCAGAGAAAATAACTTCTTTTGTTTAATAAATCTGACTGTTACATTTGACATTTTAAAGTATATTACTGTTTTTCAGTAAATTACTGTTTTCATGAAGCAGTGTTGAAGTTAATGATATAATTCAGTGATTAACCCTCTGGGGACCAGAAACGCGCCCGCGCGTTTTGCTCGTTTTTTTTTTTTTTAGCAATGCAAAATAAACTCAAACTGCTCTGTTAATTTTGATCTTTCTTGTTCGTGTTATACATCAATCGATCCTGTTCAGTTTCTATTTTTTTTCTGTATACTCACAATAAAAATAAAGTGTTTTGCTTTTTGCCAAATAAAGAAAAATGAACATGATGCGAGTTCTTCACTCTCTCTGTCAGCGAACTCCAATTTGAAACGCGTTCGGAAATGATCTGTAACTCCACGAAAATTCAGTCAAACAGGCAAACATACCCACGGGCATAAAGCTAGAGATCGCATCTTTTAAATGAAGTCATTTATATTAAAAAGAAATATTCTCAGCTTCTGTAATATGTATGAAAATAGAGCGATTCCAGTCGAGCTCATTACGAGCTCATTCACTTTAATTCGTTCACGCCTACTCCCGGAGCGCGCTATTCACAAGATAATGTGTTAAGCCATCTATGGAAAACAGGTAAACGCCCCCAAGCAAATGCATTAAAGGCTTCAAGTTTCATCACTCAGTTCACCTGCGCGTTAGGAAGATGGCACGATTCACCGGTGTAGAAGCTCTTCAGCTCATCCTGGATACTAGCGAGGAAGAATCCACATTTTCATCAGAAGAAGAGCGCGACTCTGATGACGACCGTTTGATCGAGCCGTGGATAGAATTTCGTATGAGTAAGTATTTAGTCTTACTTCCATTAGTTGACAAGCTATTCAATATAAACATGTAGCTTACATATTATACTGGGTGGACTATTTTCCACTTGCCATCCAGAGTATTGACATTTGATATATTCAACACGATCTAATGAAAGTGCATATCTATACCATGAATTTAATATCTCGTGTTAAAGAGAAAAATGTTGTTGTTGTTGTTTTTTTTGTTGTTTTTTAGTGCATATGCTACGCACTGTAAACCCAAGTTAGGAAATTTGTATGTGTAAATGATATGTTTAGATCATTGTGTATGAAAGCTAGAATGTAGAAGTTATTTTAGAAAATAGGCCTACTAGATGTTTAGATTATATTTTGACTAGTTTAAATGCTGCCTCATTATTATCATCGACGATGCATGCTCGCAAATATCAGTTGTAAATGTGTGTAAATGTGCTGAAATGTGTAAATATACCCAGTTAATGAATTGCGCAAATGTGTTTTGTTTGCGGTGTGCCTCTCCGGCAATGGCCCATTGACACGCATATTTATTGCACTCGCCTAAAATTATTTACATCAGTTATTCATTATAGACTAATGCTGCTATGGTTATATTTATGTAATAATATTCTACCTCCGCCTGCAACTCGGAGTGCGCTTAGCAACACAATCAGAAATCAGAAAGAGTAAGTACATTTTTACCTACAATTTTACAGATGTTAGTTCAATTTTGTTTATACTTAGTGTTAATACAATATGAGCCTGTATGACTTCACAATTGCTTTGTTTATAGCCGACTGATTATTTATTTATTTTACTCACATTTGATTTGCTTAGAGCAAATTTAGAACATTTAGATTCTCCACATAGAGGAATTACAATAAAACAGATTGAAAAACCTTTGAATCTCCTCTCATTCTTTGTTCAGGCTGCCTCACTTGATGGGCCATTAGCCATTGGTGGAGTGTCTGTCACACCCCTGCACTGTAAAAAATTTCCAGGATTTCACAAGATATAACTGTAATATTTCACAGTTAATTACATTATTACCACTTCACAGGCTTTAACTGTGATAATTCACAATATAATACCGTATTTAGACTTTTACTGTGAAAATAATGCAGGCGCGGGGCTTTTACAAGAAACTACTGTGAATTCCGTCTTTTTTTCGAGTGGCAACTGCGTCAGCGTCATCAGATTCCGAGCTCTCTGATCTACGCGGTCTCCATTCGGTGGATTCAGCGGTAAGTGTTTAAATGTCATACTTTATCAATTTGATGACTGTTTTTTATATGATAGTGCATGTTATTTAAAGGTATGAACCAAATTAGTGTTAGTTATAGGTTCTGTTGTCAATTTTGTAACTTTTTGTAAGCTGGAGCAGACTCGTCTAGGTTTAAGCGCGGAAATTTGAATGAACAGACGTTGGTTGTAGTGTTGTTAATTATACCGAATTAATTTAGTAGCTAACTGTGAGACGTCTGGTTAGATACACCGTCGAACATTTAACTTTAGCTTTGCTTAAAGCTTATCTTAGTTAGCAGCTACTCTAACAGCGTTCTCTCTTTTTCCACAGCATTTTTCTACGTTGACCGACGAGAAATAAAGTTATAAGGTAAGATGTGGCCTTAATAGTGGGTATTATGACAGTTATTATCAACTAGATAAATTATGGTGTTGTTGATTTGGGCAAAGGTGGATTAAATTCATCTCAAATTATAGTTTTTCTTCCCTGCTGTGTGTGTGAAACGGAGCAACCGTTGTCTGTCTCGTCAACAGAAAAATGAAGTGCGCATGTCAATAAGTTATATATTTTAATTATCTTGTCTCTGGAATTTTCCACTGCCAAAATAAATGTTTTGTGCGGCCGTTTTCCCGCTGTTAGACCAAGGTGCACTCATCTGTGTTTTGCAAGAACATTAATGTTGGTTAGATGAACCCAATAATTATTAAAATACCAGATAATTAATGTACATTCTACTCAGAGGAAGGCATGAGTGGTGCTGAGAGAGCTGAACCTCTGATGGAGAAGACCTATCATCCAGCGACGCTATCAGAGGTATTTTTTCCCTATTCCATCTTGTGAAGCACATGGCTCATTGCATGGGTGGAGTATAGTCTCAATAATCTGAAATGTAAAATGCACATCTCTTTCAAAAACAATCCAAAGCTATAAAAATTCCCTTATTTTACATGGCAGTTTGTAACAGACTAACGGGTTGCGACAAACACAGGTCTTTCTTCAGGGTCATTGTCCACAATATCTTTCATTTGTTTTGTTACAATAATGAGTTAAAGGGGTCATATTATGTAAAATTCACTGTTATAAGTTGTTTGAACAGCAACGTGAGAACAATGAGCCTATACTAGCAAAAATCCACTCGCTCGTTTTTGAGGCTATATACACACAATGTACCTGAAGCATCCAAAGAGCACCTGTATAAAATTACAACAAAGATTCAGCAGCACTTCTACTCCATTATCTTCAGGTGTTCCCACTTTACTCTACTGACCGATGTCTCAATCCTCGTGAAGTTTCGTGAGGCCCTGGAGAACAAATTCAACACCATTCTGAAGTTCTGCCAAGAAGTCAACTGTCATCAAGGCGTGAAAGATGTTTTGGCTTGTTTTGAACTGGAGGCTTCAGACAAGGCTACATGCATTCTTCTCCTTCTGATGGCGTACTTCAAAGAGCCCAAGGATGCCATTGTGCTTGATGTTGATGTAAGTATATTTTCACTCTGACATTAACATAAGCATTAGGCCTATTGTTTTTTGTAAATGGTAATAGGACTGTACTTATATTGCATCTTTCTAGTTTTCTGACCACACAAAGCGCTTCACTCTACACTTCACCATTCATACAGGTGCCAACTGCTCATCAGTCCAAAGAAACCTGTCACATTGTCATGATCACATTCTAAACTTTACCAAATGTGTACTGCCTAATCTAAGATAAATCAATGGGGGCCAAGGGAAGATTTGTTCTTAAGTTGACTATAGCTACAATAGGTACAGATTATTAACATTTGAATCTTATTCTACTCTTATTTTTGCAGCCTTGTGCCACAGCCACTGATGTAGAAGGGACCGTGATGCTACCAAGCACCCCTCGCTTGATTGTTCAAGGTAATGTTGATGTCTTCCTCATTTTGAATGTATTCTGTCAAGTCATCCACAGATTTGTTGTGAGCAGTTTCATGTACCGGTAATAACTATTTTCTTTCAACCGATAGTTCCTACATGAAACTGCTCACAAGAAGGTCTGGATTATCTTAAGTAAACCAGGTCATGATTTCTGGAAAGAGTTTTTCAAATGTGTTTTTTTGTACTTTGAGCACCACAAACAAAGTTCCATATAGTCCCTCTATAAACAAAAAAATTCTGTTAAAAATATAACCTGAGAGTGAGTAGTGTTCTGAGTATGATGTTCATGTATTAATTTCACAGGCTTCAACTTGAATTAAACTAACAGGTTTCTTCTGTCTTTTTGTTTATAGGTGCTTCTTGGGCATCAACCCAGAGCCGGGCACAAAATCTAAGAGGCAGAGAGGTCACATGAACCAGCAAGTCTGCACTCTGATTAGGAAGCTCATTGACTTCGAATGGATGTCAATCTAATGTAAGCTGTGTTCCAACTTCAGAACGGACGAACGAAACGCTGTATCTGTGTTAAAGGAACACGCTGACTTTTTGGGACTTTATCTTATTCACCGTATCCCCCAGAGTTAGATAAGCCCATACATACTCTTTTCATCTCTGTGCGTGCCATAACTCTGTCTGACTAGTCACTGCTAGCCTAGCTTAACAAAGACTGAAAGTAAATGGCTCAAGCTTTTGTCTTTTCTTCCCTCTCTCTCCCCCACTCTTATTTCTCTGTCTCTCCTTCTTTCTCTTTTGACACACATTCCTGTTACCCAGTGTTAATCCCTGTTACCCAGTGTTTTATTCCTGTAGTTAAATTGTATTTTACTTCTAAAAAATAAAAGTTAAATCACTGTTTGTATCAGTTTTGTTTGGTCCATCATTTATGCTAAATCACAGTAATAGATAGACATTCACAGTTATGTACAGTGATTCTACAGCTGCTTACTGCTAAATTACAGTAATACATAGACACTAACTAATTTCACAGTTAAATACATTAATTCTACAGCTGCTTACTGCTAAATTACAGTAATACATGGACACCAACTGTAATTTCACAGTTAAATACATTAATTCTACAGCAGCTTACTGCTAAATCACAGTAATGCGACGGCATAATTACTGTGAAGTCACAGTATACAACTGTCATTTCACAATAATTTACTGTAAAAATAATACAGTAACTTACTGTGAAAGTCATGCAACTGGTAACCTGCAATTTATTGTAAATTTACAGCCAAATAATTAACAGTGTGGTCTGAATCTCATTAATATTGATAGGCCATTACCACCCCCTCGCATAAACCTCTTCTGACAAAAAAACTGTCATACAAAGTATGAATTCATGTTTTGCTTTATGTGAACAATTAGGCAGGATGATTTTCACATCATTTTGAAGCCAGAACTCGAAGCGACAACATCCATTAGACAAAAGTCTTGTGGACACATATTTAGTATGTGTTTTGTGGTCTTATTTCAGCAACTTTCATTTTAATTTTTTTCAATAACCACGCATAAACATTATTCTCTTTAAAATACAAACATGTACATACATGTTGCTCACATATCATGGTAGCCCAGTTTGTGCTATATAGAGTGAATTTACACCTTTGCCATTAACATGTTTATAAATAACTGAAAAAAGCACAAATGTCAGTGCATGTCAAAACATCCCAAAGGCCCCAAAAACACGCTGGTCCCCAGAGGGTTAATCAACTGATGATTGAGCATTAGTGATGAACACCTGCTGTTAACAAGCAGAATCACTGAAGGACAGAGGAACAACAAGAATATAAAAAAGCGAAACACAAGAACTACAACTGACTTCAGCCACAGAAGACATTAAATCTCTGAAGATCTCAGTAGAGGAGGATTAAACGACTCTAAAAAATAGCATTACCAGCTTCACTTATTACTAACCAGATTGAATTAATTTTTTTCATACGTCTACAGAAATTCCAAATGAGAATTAACAGAGGTTTAGATGTTGTTTTGTCTCATTTCCCGTTACCAATATGGAGATCAGTGTTACATAATGATCAAGTAGTGCTGTGCAATCAGTCATGAAGGATTTTTAAACTCATCATGCACTAAAAGCTCACACATATATCAATAATCAGCCAATGAATCTCAACAATGGTGACAATCAACAAAAAAGATGACATCAAATCTGAACATCACAAAACGTCTGTGTGAAAAGTCAACACAAAACCAGCAGCAAAAATAAAAATTAAAGAAAATAACCAGACAATTCAGCTGCATAATTTATTCATCCTGCAATGCATGCTGGGGACAACCCAGATGTCCATGATGGAAGTTATGTGCTGCGTCCCAATTCGCCTACTTATACTACGCCCTAAAAGTATGTACTCTTTTTGTGAAGTGTGTGGCAAAAGAGTAGGCAAGCTTTGGGACACATTACTCCATCATCTTTAACGGACAGATCTGTCACATGCATCCTGTCACCGTAAACTGCCCTGTCAATCATCTTGTCACAGTTAAAATCCTCCATTCAATCTAATTTAATGTCCTACCGTTTCGAGAAATGTAGTAGCACTTTCATCTGCCAGTCATGGGTCTTTCATGCAGAGACTCTCCTCATGTGTTTGCAATTTGAATGTAATGATGCATTTAAAAGTTAATGACTAAACGTATCTTTACAAAAGTTTACAATGCTGCTGCAGGTGCAATAAAATGTAGACAACATTGAATATATACATTTTCGTCTGTTAGATACTGATAATTAATCACTCAAACCCCTAAACCTCTCTACATAACCACCAGTCTCACGCGTCCTTCATGTCTGTAGTTTTTTTTCCACTCGTGTTTGTAATTCTAATCAAGTCCTCGTCAATGTCCAATGACGTCCAACCCATGGGTTGTGGGCAATATTAGCCGTCAGAGTGTGCATCGATCTACACTTCGGATTCTGACCGGAAAGAGTAGACCATTCGGTTATCTCTGGAACTCATTTCAACATTCTACGATTTGGGACGTATTAATTCTATTTTTGAATACTATTTTAGACGGATAGTATGCGATCTCCATAATGGTGACTGTGATTTTTCTCCTTTGGTGATTCTGCTTGTTAACATCAGGTGTCTTCAATAATGGTCAATCATCACTCAATCAATCACTTAATTGTCTCATTAACTTGAACACTCTTCAGTCTGGAGTCAAATAAACTCCTAGGAGAGTTCATTTAACACTGGAGTTTTTGGTGTGTGAGTTAATGGGTGGAATAAAAATATGGCAATATGGCATTATGGCGATATTTTACTTTCTGACCCCTGGACTATACAACTCTGAATGCTGGGTTCCAAAATACTTAAAACTCCCAGCATGTACTGCTGCATAAATAAATAAATAAATTATTGCCACTATTGGTGAGATTAATGTGCCAATTTTTGACATCTCTTTTTTTACAGGACAGTGTAGCTCTGTTTTTATGGCTGTGCATGATGTGTTAAAAAAAATAGTTGTACCTCATTGCTGTAGTTTCACAGTAGTATTAATGTAACATTTTCGAGATAGCATTAAACTCTGAATGAGATTAGTGAATGAATAGGCTATAGGATGATTTTGTCATCATAATAATCATAATTGCAATCATTCACAAATTGTGTGTGTGCACAAATGATGGTTGCATAAACACAGTTCAAGCAAGAGAAAGACTGATAGTTAAAAGTCAAGAGTCAGCATCCCAACTAAAGCAAACACTGATCTCCATAATGGTACCAAACATTTTCAATTAAACATCTCAATAACAACTTCTGTAGATGTATGACAGAAATAAAATCATACTGGTTATTAATAAGTGTAAAAATATGTAATGGCTGGAAGTCAGTTGTAGTTCTTGTGTTTCTCTATTTTATGTTTGTGTGTTCCTCTTTCCTTCAGTGATTCTGCTTGTTAACAGCAGGTGTTCATCACTAATGCTCAACAATCACTTAAATATTCCCTTAATTATCTCACTGCAACACTGTCAATGTTACTTTTTACTCTTTGTAGTGTGGATTTTAATGTGGGGTAGAAAGGTTTAACAGTGTAAGATAAAAATACACGCCCACAAAATGTATTTTAATTGTAATAAAGTGTAAGTCATAAAACAGGTATATACTGGCAACACTGTTGCCAGTAGTTTACTGTAAAATGTAGGATTTGTTTGGTCACAGTTGTGCTGAAGAGTCGAGCCTGTGCTTCAGTCCAGGAGAAGATCTACAAACATTGATGATTCGCTGCATGTTGCATTATTTAACAGGTGGGGACTGTGTTGTTGCTGGTGCAGGGGAAATCTCATATGGCTCTTTCCACTGCTTGGTACGACTCGGTACACTTTAGCTTGGTTGCTTTTCCACTGCAGTTAATATCGCTTCAAAGTGGGTGGGACTAATCGTTATTGTTACGTAACCAATAAGTGGATTGTCTGCACCTCGTCCACTGACCACGATTCAGCTATTTCTTTTTTGAAGTTTTCATCTTTTTTCAAGCAAGTACTTTAAAAACAGGTACTACAGCGTTGTCTACTGGCTATTTAACCCTCTGGGGTCAGCAATCACGCCGGTGTGATCTGCTCGCTTTTTTTCTAATCAGTGCAAAACAAACTCAAAATACTCCGTTGATTTTGATCTTACATATAAGTGTTACACATCATTCAAAACTGTTAAATGTCTTCTTTTATTTGTGTACACTCTTTTATTTGAAGTTCATTCTGAAACGTGACAGAAAATGACCTATAACTCAGCTAATGCTTGTCACTGTGACATGAAACATGTGTCTTTACGATCTTGAAGTCTCCATTTTTAAATGATGTAAATCATATCAAAAACAAATATTCTCTGTTTAAGTAATTCGTATGAAAGCAACGACATGTACAGTTTCTTCAGCCCGAGCTCATTAACTCTAATGTGACCACGCCCACACGCGCGCGAGCTGTTCATATGCAAATGATCCACGTGCAGGAACGCAGAGCTTTTACCGCCCTCATCACCTCAAAGCAAAGAATCAGCGACTTCAGTCCTGCTCTGCTTTTCGTCAAGTTTGGAGCTGTGCTGTTGACCTTGGACTTACCTCAGAAGAATTAGAAGAACACGATTTGATTATGAGAACGATTTTTAAGGTAAGACACTAATAGTAGCATGTTATTGTTGCATAAACTTTACATTGTAGCTACTTGTTAAACTGGTGCCAGACTAAAATGTACGTTATGAAATGTGATTGGAGTAAAAACATGAAGCCAAATGCTAAATGTATACATGTACGACACAATAATGTTTTTATGTTCGATAATTAAACAGCACGATATAACAGTAGGAGTATATAACGAGTATGAGTGTTTATTCTAATATGGTGAATATTATAATGTTTAGACCTGAGCTTACTGTCAAATACTGTGTTTGTGGATATCTGCTCACATGTAGATATGTATACTATGGTAAAAATAATGTTTCATAGATTGGAGTGGCTCAATCGCTTCAGTAAATGTCCTCTGCACGAACTATGAGTTTGAGTCACTCGCGCTGTGGGTTTGAAAAGCAAAACGTACCAAACATTAGGCTTCATGTTTTTACTCCAATCTCATTTCATAACGTCATAACGGATGGAAACATTTGAGGTAACATGATAATCCATATATTTTTCTCTAGTGTAGTGTTCCTTTTTAACGATTTATAGGCTGCCTGCTATCTAGACTATTGTTAATATTTTATTTAGCCCTACACATATATGCCTACAAGGCACAACAAACTTGGTGTTCATATATATATATAGTGTATTTAGTAAATTTCATAATTTTAACCAGAAAAATCTAAAATGTATTCCCAAAATCGTGCAGCCCTATCGTTTTTCTTGATGTTCACATGTGTGTTTTTTTTTCTTTATGGGAGGGTCCTTGTCTTTCTCAGGTGTGAAACACTAAATATTACTAGGTGGTTAACGCCTCCCCGCATTAAGCTTTCTCACACAAATGATGTCTTTCAAATTTTAAATCAATATATAGTTTTATCTGAATGAGTAGTCAGGATTATTTTCACATAGTTTTGGAGCAAATATTCTAGGCCATGTGATACAATTTTCAAAAGTCTTGAGAAGAAAAAATTACTATGGGTTTCATGACTTATTTCAGTGACAACATTTTTTAGTTTTTTCACAAACCACGCATAAACGTCATTATCTCAAAACCGCAAACTTTTACATACATGCTGCTGACATATTACTGTAGCATAGTTTGTGCTGAATACAGTGTAATCAGACTCTAGCCATGAAAATGTCACAAGTAACAGAAATAAACATAAATGTCAGAGCATGTCAGAACACCTCCAGGACCCAGAAAACACCTCAGACCCCAGAGGGTTAAATCTAGCGGGTTTAGTGTCTCGTGTTGCAAATACAACGGCGCTGGTAGTGATGATTCTGTCTGACCAATCAGTGATTGCAGTGTTTTCAAGTCACATTTTAGTATCGGTGCGGTGCGCTTGGAAGCTCAACAGACCTGCAAGTGAAATTAGTTAACTCGAGTTTTAATTTAGTGCATAGTAGGGCTGGGCGATTAATCGCACGATATTGTTATGCGCATCTAATCAGTAAAGCCGGTTCCTTGATTAGTAGTAAATCACCTTCACCTGCTTTCAGATGGAGCGGCATTTACTACAAAGAGCCGTAGTTAACTGACAAGCTGAGCCATATCGCGTTAAAATCGAGGACATATCGCCAGCGATATTTAATGCGATATGGCTCAGCTTGTCAGTTAACTACGGCTCTTTACACAGCAAAAACTCCAGTGTTAAATGAACACACCTGGGAGTGTATATGAGTCCACACTCCAGAATGTTAAAGTTAATGAGATATTTAAGTGATTAATTGAGTGATGATTAAGCATTATTGAAGACACCTAAAGCAGAATCACTGAAGGAGAAAACCGGAATTTCAGGTCACCATCATGGAGATGAGTGTTTGCTTTAGTTGGGCTCTTGACCCTTATATTATTAACTTTAGATTTTGTTCGGCTGTTGTATCCGAGTTATATCTGTCAGACGAACAAAGAAAAACAATGATCTAATGGTATTGAATGTATTATGACATTCATCATTTGAGCCAATTGTTTGTGAAATATGCTGTTGGTTACAGTATAACTGAGATTCTGCATAAATTTCCAGAATTTGTGATATAATGTAAAGGCTTTCTTAATAGTTGTAAAAAAAAAATCTTTGTTTTAGGCACACACAGATATCAAGATTCAATCAATGCATCTCAACAATGGTGATGAACAGAATATTCAATTAGGAAAAGTAAATTACATAGACAATACAGATCATAATTTATTCATACCGCAATGCATGATGGGAGCCATTAACGAGTTGTGATTGGTGGCAACCAGAGATGGGCAATATTTTAATTACAAAATACTCAAAAGTAATTAAATACGTATTTCAAATACAAAATACAAAATATGTAATTTGTATTTTTTATGTGAGTGTGTTGCTGAAATCTGAGTACACAGCAAAAAGTGTTAAATCAGCACTGCTCAGAGCACATATGGTCCCACTCTACAGAGTGTTAAAGCTAATGAGATAATTAAGTGATTAATTGAGTGATGATTGAGCATTATTGAAGACACCTAAAGCAGAATCACTGAAGGAGAAAATCACAAATTGTAAGCCACCGTTATGGCGATCAGTGTTTGCTTTAGTTGGACTCTTGACCCTTATATTATTAACTTTAGATTTTGTTTGGCTGTTGTTTCTGAGTTATAACTGCCAGATGAACAAAGAAAAAAGTGATCTAATGGTGTTGGTTTAATTATGACAATCATAATTTGAACTTTTTGTTTGTGGTTTATGCTGTTGGTTACAGCATAACTGTGATTCTGCATAAATATCCAGAATTTTAGCTATAATAAAAAGGATTTCTTAAAATTGTTTAAAAAAATAATCCTTCTTTTAGGCACACACAGACTTCAAGATTCAGTTAATGCATCTCAACAATGGTGACGAGCAGAATATTTAATTAGGAAAAGTAAATTAGATAGACAATTCAGATCATAATTTATTCATATCGCAATGCATGATGGGCGCCATTAATGAGCTGTGATTGGTGGCAGCCACTGCAACATGCTTTATTATTGTCACCATTGTTGAGATTCACAGGCTGATTATTGATGTCTGTGTTTCTAAATAAATTAATTTGAAAGTGTTTTGATCAGAACAATGTTTATTCAATATTTTGGATTATAAGAAAAATACTGATAATCATATGCTGTAGAATCACAAAGCTGTTGCTAACAAGTTAAACCAAACTATGCTCAACATAAACTTATTTATCTCAAAAAGTTTATTTTTTCAGATCACAGCATGATTATGTCAAAACATAACCAACACTATCAGATCACACTTTTCTTTGTTCATTTGACTGTTATAAATCAATAACAGCAGACAAAAAAATTTTAATTAAAAGTTTAAGGGTCAAGAGTCCAACTAAAGCAAACACTGATCGCCATAACGGTGGCTTACAATTTGTGATTTTCTCCTTCAGTGATTCTGCTTGTTAACATCAGGTGTCTTCAATAATGCTCATCATCACTAAATTAATCACTTAATTATCTCATTAACTTTAACACTCTTGAGTGTTAATTTAACACTCATATCTGCATCATATCTTCCATCTGAAAGCAGGTGAAGGTGATTTACTACTAATCAAGGAACCGGCTTTACTGAGGAGATGCGCATAACAATGTCATGCGATATATCGCCCAGCCCTAATAAGTATTTTAAGTATTTTAAATACAAATGACAGTCCCTCAAAGTAGGCTATTTAATTACAAATTACATTTGATTTATTTTTGTTAAGGAAAATACAAATTACATGTATTTGAAATACGTATTTAATTACTTTTGAGTATTTTGTAATTGAAATACTGCCCATCTCTGGTGGCAACAAGGATTATTATTGTCACCACGGTTGAGATTCACAGGCTGATTATTGATTTCTGTGATCCTTAATAAATGCATTTAAAAGTGACTTGATCAGAACAATTCTTATTAAATGGTTTGGATTTTAAGAAACATACAATTATCATATGCTGTAGGACCACTAAACTGTTGCTATCAAATTAAACAAAATCATTTGAATGAGTTTCATTTTTCAGATCACAGCATGATTATGTCAAAACATAACCAACACTATCAGATCACACTTGTTTTTGTTCATTTGACTGTAATAAATCAATAACAGCAGTCAAACAAAATTTAAACTTAAAGGATAAGGATCAAGAGTCCAACTAAAGCAAACACTGATCGCCATAACGGTGGCTTACAATTTTAGATTTTCTCCTTCAATGATTCTGCTTGTTAACATCAGGTGTCTTCAATAATGCTCAATGATCACTAAATTAATCACTTAATTATCTCATTAACTTTAACACTCATATCTGCATCATATCTTCCATCTGAAAGCAGGTGAAGGCGATTTGCTACTAATCAAAGAACCGGCTTTACTGAAGAGACGCGCATAACAATATCGTGCGATATATCGCCCAGCCCTAGTGCATAGTATTTTTACAGTAACGTACTGTAGATTACAGTAAAGAACTGTACAATTATCAGTAAATAACTGACAACAGTTTTTCCAGTGTATTGAAGTATGTTCATTCACAACAGAATTACCATAATCTAGATATATATTTGCCTCTAATCTCACCTGCTTCTCTTCAGTTTTGATAATGATCAGATCAGCTCCTCGATCTCTGCAGAACTGCCTGCTCTCAGACCAGCTCTTCAACTCACTGGATATGAAAAACCTATCATTTCCTTTCAATAAACATAAACAAATACATTTATTAATTGTGTTGTAAAGTGCAAAGATACATATAAAATAAATCCATTTGTACAGACCTAGTTCATATAACTTTCTTAGTTCAGTCTCTAACTCCAGTTTCTTCTGACTCAAAGAGTTGAAGTTGTTCTTCAGTTGGTCTTTTTCAGTCATTAGATCAGTGTAATTGTCCTGTAAGCTGTTGATAGTCTGATTGAACTCTTCAACGGTGTTCTTGTAACTCTTTAACAGGTCTCTCTCTGCTGTAATGGTGATGTACAGTGTGATGAAGACCAGCAGAAGAACACACATGAGCCCGAGACACACTGACATCAACACCAAACACCTGCTTCCTCCTGACACATAGAGACACACACACACACAGATATCATTTAACAACAAATTCATATTATTAGAAATATAGGCTCAAATAAATCCACCTTTATGTTTAGATAATACACAGGCCTTTTTAACAAAAACGTTTATTCTTTGATAATGATAGCGGTATATCTACAATAAAATATGCAAATAAGAACATATGTTGAAAAGTTAAATAAAATAACTTCATACAAAATGCAGAAACATGAACACATTGTTCTTTGAAAAAAGATTGAATTTATAAGTTACATTTCTCATTTCCTCAAAAGTTAACAACCCCATTTCTTCTTCAAATGAAACTTTACTTACTGCACTTTCCATCTTTCCCTTCATCCTGGCTGTGATTCTGTGTTCGAGCTCCAGTTGTGTCCTTAATATAATCATTTTCAACATTTTCATAAATGTCTTCTAATTCCATAATTCACTCTTATGTCTGACAGCAAGTGTTCACAGATGAGCTTGAATGATAGTCATGGTGTCTTTTAAATAGTGCTAACACTAAACGGGAAGTGGCTATTAGTTCAGACACAGAGAAAAATACTTTCATTCCCACAACGAAACTCTCTGAAACTCTGCAGAGACTCAAACACCTTTAAACAGGCCTAACTTGACATCTGTGTTGATGGCAATTAACTGGAAGGGAATGAAAATTGTTTATAACCTGGGACTGAGAGGATGATGTAGGAAAAACAGAAATAACTATTAAATACTAAAGATAACATTAAAGTGGGTGACAACAGGATATTAACATGCATTTAATCAATGTGAGGGTCAGTGTTCTGCCATTTATTTACTAAAATGGTATGAATAAATATAACACAAATGTGGAAAACACCTTTATGAGAAACAGGATATTGTGAGTTTATTATAGAATAATCTCTTCTTGTACAATTTTACATTCTCCATCTAACAAATTTCATCTGAATATCCATATCTGGTACATTACAGTCAATTATAAAACAAAATTATAAATGATATTATGATGGTGATTAATATACAATGTAATCAGCCGACGGAGACATGACAGATATCTCAATCAGAAATGATATGAGTACAATAACAATGATTCCATAAAATAATATATAAAAGTGAACAAATAATCAAATCAACAAAGGTTGGAGCTTAAAGTCTCACAAATCCCTTTTTTCTTCGCAGCGCATGGCCGATCATTCCAATTGTTCAGAACTGGATGTTCAGGCATCACTTCAATACAGTCCTCCTCTCCACTTTGGTCATTTGGTCTACCTTTGAGCCAAAACCTGGATAACATGTATAAGATTTTCAATTATTAGGAACCCATATTTAAATTTAACATCCCATGAGTTTTATTCAGCAATACGAATAATTATATTTACATTTACTAATTTGTCAGGAAGCATCAAACAAATAAAAGAACATCACAAGCAATATTATGCAAAAGCCAACAGTACTCACATTATCACAACAGCAGTTTCAAGAATATGCTAAACGGTACAGACGTGAGCAGAAGTGAAAGTGCAGAAAAGTAAAAGAAGCACGGCATTTGTTTATAGAAAGCGCTTTTTTAAATTGTATTTTCAGTTCTAGTTAAGTTGTTGCAGAACAGGTGTGTCTTCAGCTGTGATGGTCTCTTTTTTTAAAAGAGAGTGAAAAAGACAAAACTAACAAATAAAGCACAAATAAAGCGTTTTATCAATTACCCTTGATTCAGTGGTGAATTATCCACCCATTTCATTCTGCTCTCATTATCAATGTCAGATAAACCAATCCACACTCTCTCATTGACTAATGAAGATACTTTCCTCTGTGTAAAAAAAAAGAAATAAGTGTGATTCCTCTTTTTCTCCTTAAACACACACTAATTTAAAGAAAATAAGAAAATAAAAGTGTAATGTGAACGTGAGGGGAATAGCAAAATACAAAGTATTATTGTAAACAAAGCAATTTGTTCTTATATTACATACACATGTACAGTATGTAAAATTGCAAAAATAATCTGTAGCTAAACAGTAGCAAAACAATAATGATAAATGACTGGCAGCCAGTAAAATAAAAAACTGAAAAACACTGTTATTTTACAGGTATTTCCTGAATTATTACAATCAAAAACGCACACTGTAAAAAAATCCCCCAAAAAACGTTATTATTAACTATTATCAACTTTTATTATTTTCAATAAATCATCAATATCTAAACCTCTGTTCATTTTCAATAAGAGCTTCTGTAGACGTCAACGCTGAAGCTGATGCTTTACCTCAAAGAGATCAATGGCATTGATTCATTGTATTGACCAGAGCTGACACCATTCATTAGAAATATCCTTGTTAAAAGGATGACTTTTTAACAAGATTTCGCTTTCGTTGGTCACGGCAACCTTTTCACGAATATGACTTGATATGAAGGACAGATATGCTGTTTACATCCACCTTTCTGCTTCCGATCTGTTGCGTGAGATCACGTGAGGCGCTTCCTCTGGCACAAATCTTAATAACATTGTGTAGTGTGTTATGTGCCGCGATTTTCAAATCTTGTAGTGTGAGCATGTTTAAGATTTGAGGGAAGAAAATCTGCAAAGGTTCTCATTAAGTGTGTGCTGCAACCAGATTTCTTCATCAGAAGGGATTGAAATATTAGAGCGGCATAATATAATTGCCAAAGACTCTCGCCATCAAAACTCAGCTCTACTTAAATACCCTAGAGCAGGGGGGTTCCCAATTACGGTCTTCTGCCCTCCCCGCTCTGCACAGTTTCAAAGGGCGTTTCTCAGTACTAAGAATGCAAAATTCGGTCATTCTAAAAATGGAACAGCAGCAACTCCGGTGTTTTATCGGGTTGAGGTCAGGACTCTGTGCAGGCCAGTCAAGTTCCACCACACCAGACTCATTCATCCATTTCTTTATGGACCTGGCTTTGTGCACTGGTGCACATGTTGGAACAGGAAGGGTTCATCCCCAAACTGTTCCCACAAAGTTGGGAGCATGAAATTGTCCAAAATGTCTTGGAATGCTTGGTATTAAGAGTTCCTTTCACTGGAAATAAGCGGCCAAGCCCAACCCCTGAAAAACAACCCCACACCATAATTTTAAACTTGCAGTCAGGCAAGTCCCGTTCTCCTGGCAACCGCCAAACCCAGACTCGTTCATCAGATTGCCAGACAGAGAAGCGTGATTCGTCGCTCCAGAGAACACTTCTTCACTGCTCTAGAGTCCAGTGGCGGCTGCTTTACACACTGTATCCCACGCTTTGCATTGCACTTGGACTATACAGTGCACTTAGATGCAGCTACTCGGCCATGGAAACCCAATTCTATGAAGCTCTCTACACACTTAAGCTAATCTGAAGGCCACACGAAATTTGGAGGTCTGTAGCTATTGACTCTGCGTAAAGTTGGCGACTTCTCTGCACTGTGCTCCTCAGCATGCGCTGACCCCGCTCTGATTTTACGTAGCCTACCACTTCGTGGCTGAGTTGCTGTTGTTCCCAATTGCTTCCACTTTGTTATAATACCACTAACAGTTGACCGTGGAATATTTAGTAGTGAGGAAATTTCACGGATGGATTTATTGCTCAGGTGGCAACCTATCACTGTACCACGCTTGAATTGACTGAGCTCCTGAGAGCGACCCATTCTTTCACAAATGTTTGTAGAATTAGTCTGCATGCCTAGTGCTTGATTTTATACAACTGTGGCCATGGAAGTGATTGGAACACCTGAATTCGATGATCTGGAGGGGTGTCCCAATATATTTAATGAGATATCAGTTGAAGTTCACTTCACTTAACAAAATGCGTTAATTCAGAACACCCTACAACATCATCAAACACTGTAGCCAGTGTTAATGTAAATGTATTTTGGGCTATCATCAGGTTGGGGTAGTATGCATACAAAGGGATTTTTAACAGATGTTTCTTGTATTCTTGAACAAGCTCTGAACTCACCTGCCTCTCTTCAGTGTTGATAATGACCAGATCACCACCATGATTCATGCAGTACTGCCTGCTCTCAGACCAGCTCTTCTTCTCGTTGGTAATGAAAAGTTTACCATTTTCTATTTAATTAACAAATACATTTTTTTTTTTGGATAGTAAAGTGCAATACTATATGGACAAATTAATTTTTACACACCTCTTTTAGATAACTTCCTTAGTTCTGTCTCCAGTTCCAGTTTCTTCTTATTCAAAGAGTCAAAATTTCTCTGCAACTGGTCTTTCTCAGCAGTGAGATCATTGACTCTGGTCTCCAGGTCTAGTTTCTTCTGCCTTAAAGAGGTGAAATTGTTCTGTAACTGGCCTTTCTCAGCAGTAAGATAATTGACTCTGGTCTCCAACTGGCTTTTCTCAGCAGTAAGATCATTGACTCTGGTCCCCAACTGGCTTTTCTCAGCAGTAAGATCATTGACTCTCGTCCCCAACTGGCTTTTCTCAGCAGTAAGATCATTGACTCTGGTCTCCAGCTCAAGTTTCTTCTGGCTCAAAGAGTTGAAATTGTTCTGTAACTGGCCTTTCTCAGCAGTAAGATAATTGACTCTGGTTTCCAACTGGCTTCTCTCATCAGTAAGATTATTGACTCTGGTCTCCAGCTTCAGTTTGTTCTGACTTAAAGTATCAAAACTTCTCTGTAACTGACCTTTCTCAGCATTGAGATCATTGACTCTGTTCTCCAGCTCCAGTTTCGTCTGATTCAAAGAGTTAAAACTTCCCTGTAACTGACTTTTCTCAGCAGTGAGATCATTGACTCTGGTCTCCAGGTCTAGTTTCTTCTGCCTTAAAGAGGTGAAATTGTTCTGTAACTGGCCTTTCTCAGCAGTAAGATAATTGACTCTGGTCCCCAACTGGCTTTTCTCAGCAGTAAGATCATTGACTCTCGTCCCCAACTGGCCTTTCTCAGCAGTAAGATAATTGACTCTGGTCCCCAACTGGCTTTTCTCAGCAGTAAGATCATTGACTCTCGTCCCCAACTGGCTTTTCTCAGCAGTAAGATCATTGACTCTGGTCTCCAGCTCAAGTTTCTTCTGGCTCAAAGAGTTGAAATTGTTCTGTAACTGGCCTTTCTCAGCAGTAAGATAATTGACTCTGGTTTCCAACTGGCTTCTCTCATCAGTAAGATTATTGACTCTGGTCTCCAGCTTCAGTTTGTTCTGACTTAAAGTATCAAAACTTCTCTGTAACTGACCTTTCTCAGCATTGAGATCATTGACTCTGGTCTCCAGCTCCAGTTTCTTCTGACTTAACGAGTTGAAATTGTTCTGTAACAGGCCTTTCTCAGCACTGAGATCATTGACTCTGGTCCCCAACTGGCTTTTCTCGGCAGTAAGATCATTGACTCTGGTCTCCAGCTCAAGTTTCTTCTTGCTCAAAGAGTTGAAATTGTTGTGTAACTGGCTTTTCTCAGTGGTTAGATCTTTGACTCTGGTTTCCAACTGGCTTCTCTCATCAGTGAGATTATTGACTCTGGTCTCTAGCTTCAGTTTGTTC